ATATATATATATATATATATATATATATATATATATATATATATATATATATATATATATATATATATATATATATATATATATATATATATATATATATATATATATATATATATATATATATATATATATATATATATATATATATATATATATATATATATATATATATATATATATATATATATATATATATATATATCAAGATTTATATATACTGCCTCACTTATTCTGCAAATGCACTGTTCATATATATCCTACAGCAACTTACGAATGGGTGAAATCAATAGCTGCGGAGCTCTGAGGTGTCGTCGGAGATTGTCCCCCCCCTTCCGGCGAGGATATATTGAGCATACGCTTCAACGCGTCAGCCGCGTCCATACTGGCAAGCTGAGCGCAACGTTACGCGAGATCTGGAAAAGAGTATATCCGACTCGTCACTATTAGTGGGCTGGTGATATATATATATATATATATATATACATATACGTGTATTACATAATATTCAGTGTTTCGTTTTTGTATGGGTTTCCGCTTCCGCACGTCAGATGTCACACTTGTTGTTTTGTCGAGAGTGGTGTCAAGTGTCAACAGCATGCCATTGCTGTATGCGAACGAGTGTGAGCCTTTGTCACGCCAGGTGAAGCCAGGCTGAAGTCTTGTCTCCTCTCAGGCGGAGTAACTCACCCTCCGGCCTCTTGATCTCAAGGCTCACAGGCTCACAGGACACAGGCGTCCTCAGTCCTCAGTCCTCAGTCCTCACTACATTTTTCTAAAAATAAATACACCATTGCGTTAAAAAAGGATAAACGTTTTTTTAACATCCTGTAAATACATACGTACATATTTATGTAAATACATACATCCTGTATGTACGTAAATATGTACACTGTATTTTCATTTGTTGTTTTTTTATACTTTTTTAAAAAAAATATATACTTTTGAGGAGGCTGAGAATTTAAATTTTTTGTTTTGTTGTTTTATTTTTATAAAAAGAACAAACAAACACAAAAAACAAAACGTGTGTAATGTCAACCATGTTTACATCCGATTTAAAACAATGTTGGTGTTGTAAGTACCGAACTGTTTGGTAATGTTCCCGGGCGTTAATAAGAGTGCGAGAACTTCTAAGTGTGGGCGATAACTTATAAGTGTGAAAACTAATAAGTTTGAAAAGTTATAAGTTATATTGTGCGGTTTGTTGGCGAACGGCCGTGCAGGCTCGAAAGAAGAGGGGGTTGGTGTATGATTGGTGCTTTGCGAACCGAAGTGCGGGGTAATATGAGCTGGAGGTTGGCAGATGACGATATATGTTGAATGTACTTGTAGGCTCGAAATTGAGTAGATACACGATTTGATAGGCAGTGTAGAAATACGGCCTCCGGTCAGTCTAAAATATCAAGATCAATTGAGAT